GTAAGGCTGCCTTTTAAGTTGTGTCGTTTGAAATAAGTATAGACAATCTAATAGATTATTACCATTTATTGTTTTTCAAAGAATTCTCCGCGATATTTAATACACTTGCATGCGTTCAAACCAGTTTTTAAGAGTTCTTTGTTAGATGGTTTTATTGTTTGCTTATTAATTTGTCGATTGTATTTATTTATACTTTTGCACACATTGAAAAATGTCTACAGGGCGGACTTAATGCTTGATGGCATTCTCTACCAGTCAAACGTTACGCTAAACAGAGAGAACAAATGGCAAATGTAAATTAATTAACAATTTATGATAAATAAACATACAAACATATAAAATAATATACTTACAAAAAACATATATACATAAATACATACATATATACAATAATAACTATACATAGTATATATTAAATTAATAAATATATAAATAATAACAAATTAAATATCAGATTAAGGCTTTTCATTTTTGTGAAAAATTGAAGTAATGTTCACGAGGGGACTTTTTGAAGGAAAATTCTGCTGATATTATATGTATAATTAAAGATTCCATCCCATGTATCCCACAAAAAAGCCTTCGATTGTGACAAAACTTGTTATTATGGTCTAAAAATGAAACTACTTAACTGATTTTGATAGAATTTCTACAGAATCAACCTGTAAGTATATACTTTCAGATAAAAATAGAATTTTCCAAATCGGTTTACAACTGACGTAGTTAAGTTATAAGGTAACAAATATAAAAAAAATGTATAGCCGTATTTGGAAAGTCTCCTTCTTTTTTAAGTTGGTTAAAAAGGGAAATATTTGGTTTCTAATAGATGAACTCATATCGACCGGTATTAAAAATTCTATCACCTGTTACTTTATCAGTAGTTATCAGAGTACTATAGATTATATAGAGAGTTTTTGAAAATTTTGTTTGCCCTTACGAAGCCGGGTTGGATTACTAGTTTCTCCATAAAAAGGCAAATTTTTATAACAAATCTGTTAAAATATTTATATGTCTTTGTTACCTTTTATTAAAGTAATTTTTTTTTTCGTAAAAAAATCCTAAGCACCGAATTAGTAATTACAATAAAATGAATGAATTATTTTACTGAACTAGGTGTTATAAAAATATATGTGTGGCTGCCAACACTCGAACATTGACCACCACTATTACAGCCAGAAGTTCCACAACCTTCCATATTAACTTACAGTTTCCGACTGCCATTTTGTTCACTCACGTTTTGCGATACGTGTTTCATCTCTAAAGACAAATAATTAGATCGTTGTTCGAAATCTAGTGTTAACCGTTTGGCTCTCAAATTGCAAACTTTCGCAGTTTGGGTGTTTCGAAAGAAACAGTTGGTATGCTCACACCAGAGGGAGACTTTGTACAAAAGTCGATTGCTTGGGTACCTCTGTCGCATTCGTGTTTCAACCGTAAAGCAGTTGTGTTTGCATGGCTGTGTTTCGGTTTGAAGGGTGGGATATGGCGTGAATTTACTGGGTACGCAGGAATTACACCTGAGTCCTCAGGAATGGCAACGCATGGGGGGTATCATGGGCGAAAGAGTATACTCTGTTATGTCCATAGTACTACTCATGTCTATAGGCGACGGTTACCACTTTCCATCAGGTGGGCCATTAGCTTGTTTGCCATTCTAAGTTGTATAAAAAAAATTGTCGACTATCGCATGAGACTGGAAGCAATTCTACCGCAGTTTTTGGTCCACCTATTAAAGTGCACAGTTTTGTCATTTTATGAAGCAGTACAAATTGTAAGTAACTATCTTAGCATTTATAATATAAATATTATTTTCCTCATTTACAATGTAATAAATTCACATCACATATTAATCGATTTCTTGAAACAAATCTTACAACAAAAGTTGGCAATTTCGTAACCCGACGATTCGAAAAGTTCGATTCTTTTCCAATAAAAACTTATTCAGTATCCTTAAAAGGGATGCGATCTCAAAAATGTTACACGGCTTTCCATTTCAAACGGATGTGTAGTGTTGTCCACACAGATTAACCACTATTTGAATATTTTTTTAATGATTAGGATATTATTGATTTTTTTTTAAACGATGATTTTTTTTATACTACTTAGAATGGCAAACAAGCTGACGGCCCACCTGATGGAAAGTGGTATCCGTCGCCTATAGACATGAGCAGTACCATGGACATAACAGATTATACTGTTTCACTCATGATACTCCCCATGCGTTGCCATTCCTGAGGACTCAGGTGTTATTCCTCTGTATCCTGTAAATTTACACCATATCTCACCCTTCAAACCGAAACACACACACAACTGCTTTATGGTTGAAACACGAATGGGACAAAGATACCCAAGCTAACGACTTTTGTATAAAGACTCCCTCTGGTAAATGATTATGATTAAGCCTATCTACTGTCTGTTTGATGGCAAGCTGGCCACTAAAGCTCAATAATGTTTGCACTTAGATTATATAGATAGAGTATCGACTGTCGAAAACATATCAGAATTTAGTCAGGTAGTTGTCACTTTGGCTGATTGAATTATGACACATGATTTTTTTTAAAACAAATTATACTAAACGTTTTTTTTATTTTTCAGTATTGCGGTTAATTGAATTAAAAGTTACCCAGAATGGGTAAATTTCTTAAATTTGAATTGAGAACTAATAAATATATCAATTGTACTGACCACACGCAAAATCAAATGTAATTTTTGTAACATAAGGAATTAAGGTAACGTAATGGTAATATCGAATGGAGGTTGTAACGATTTTTTTTTTACATATTTTTTTAAATTTATGATCTTTTTTATGTTATCACTGGTAGAACTCTCAAATAAAAAGATGCTAATGATTGCAACTTTATATCAGATATTCAGGACTCAACATTAAGACTGGAGTATTAGGTTACATACGAGTTTACATTCATAATCAACGCATTATTTAGTAAAGATATGACTTCGATATAATTAAGAGACCTTTAATTGGTACATAATTATGTAAAGGTTACTCATATATTTTATCAATTAATCATATATATATATATATATATATATATATATATATATATATATATATATATATATATATATATATATATACGCAGTGTCGGTCACTCTCAACCTCTTTTAAAAATAAACTGAAATTTAGTTACTTCAAAGATGCAGTCCATCCTGTCGAGATATCCAACATTTATCTGGATCTTGGCACAACACTAGCCGGTGCCTTTTATAAGGTATGAAGTTATCTGGACGCGTCCATTTATAGCTCACAATCGTGATCCGTATGGCAAAAAAGGTTAATAAAAGCGTTGGTCATTACGTAGAATGGGTCGGCAATGTCGGGATGAAAGTAAAATTTATTTATGTCAACCCCTTGTTCTCGTCCACTTGATGGCGAATGCATGAAGTTTGCAACAGTTTACTGCGACATTGTTGTTTCGTTTTGGCGATTTATTACGGCGCTAATCTGTATTGTTTATTTCTTACGACCGCCCAGTTCTGAGCTGTACTCGTGGAAATGTTTTTTTGGTTTTTTTTATTATACAACTTAGAATGGCAAACAAGCTGACGGCCCACCTGATGGAAAGTGATAACCGTCGCTTATAGACATGAGCAGTACCATGGACATAACAGAGTATACTGTTTCGCCCATGATACCCCCCATGCGTTGCCATTCCTGAGGACTTAGGTGTTATTCCTCTGTACCCTGTAAATTCACGCCATATTTGTTTTTGACACTTCAGATATGACAAGTAGATTAGATGAAAATGACAAATATTTTTGTCCAAAATCAAACGGCAAACAATTAGACGGCTCGCCTGATAATGATTGTTTATAGATCCTATTCATAAGCACTTTTATTGATGGGTGAAAATGATATGGTAACCCCGCCTGCGCTAACGGGATACGCTGGCGGAGCACCAGTGGAGGGGTGATAGATGAGAATGAAAACAGGCCAGTTAGCCCATCATGATGAATTCATCAGGAATTAACCATGATAGTTTCCAGGGGGAACCGCGAGGAGGTTGACCTAGTTCGGTATATTGCTAGCAATGGGTTTCTTAGTCTCCATTACTAACAATCCCTTTCCCCCCAGGAGTGTAGGGTTATTTTAATTATCTACCGACAAATTATTGAAACCAATTTAAGAACAGATCAAACTGCCACTTTTTTTTTTAATTTTGATATAATTATATGTATAGAATGAAAGTATAACGTATAAACTATCTTTGGCAAACAATATAATTGTCTTTGGTAAAGTTTGTATGTGTATTATTCCCAGCATTAGTATCAGTCATGAATCAGCGTTGATTTATTGTTGCATGAAGGTAATCACAGACTGTGGTCGTGCACTACAGTTTACGAGTATAAACACGACCAATAATGTTTGTGTAACAGTCTGTCTAGGAAGGATTAAAAATTATCTGATGTGAACAGCCAATATTTTTTTGATGTAAACTGATAATCGCCGTCTGTAAACTTGAGTCTCATAACATGGGTACCATAAATATTACAGGTAATCATCAGCATCATCATGTTAACTGTTCACTATTGAATATAGGTTTTTCCCTCCTCCATTAACGGTATATGCTGGTGGGCCACCAGTGAGGAGTGATAAGTGATAAATGGTCTGCATTACTAACAACCGCCCCCCCCCTCCATGTCCATTAGTAATTATTCCATTCCTAAATTAAATATAATTTTATATAAAACCATTACTTTCGTCTGAATGTAACCATGTGCAACCATGTTTAACAATATCAAATAACGTGACCTTACCAATTTCCTTTCCCCGAAATAAACACCGACTCTTCCTATCAAAGTATCAACACAAGCGTCCTGGGCAAAGTTCAAACACCTCATGGTATTCCAAATAATTGCCGTCGACTGTTGGCAATCCAATAAAAACATATGCGAAATCGCCAACTTGCAAGTTTGAAGCGACGCGATGTAGCCATGCGCGCGCGCTGCAGAATACTACAGACTGGTCCAGTCCAGTGCGCTTGCGTTTACCTTCGTAAACGGACGGATTTGCCGCCGTCGCTTGTAAAACACGTCGATAGTGTATCGTGTCGTTGCAACTAAGTGTATTGTTTTACGTGATTTATTGATCCAGTGTCGTTTATCGGAGTTTTTGTAACAGAAATCAATCTTAGTGTTGGGTGTGTAGTTTGTATACGTATAATACAACCACGGCTCGATCGTTTGTGTCCACTATTCTAGTTAATTGAAGTTCGTTGACATCTCGTGTGATTGTTTTTTTTTTAACATCAGTGTTAATTTTTGCAATCAGCACACACTAATTTCGCATTTTTAGGGAACAATGATTTATTTTTAATTCGATGACGTAATCAACAATCTATACCCACACCCACTCTTATATATTTAACAATATAGGCGTGTGAATCTATTATAGATGATTCAGATATTTTTTTCGCTTATTTCCAAATCAAGCGTGACCATTTTTGTCCATCTTACTATTGTGAGCAAAACCTAATTACCATAATGACTTCCGAACAAATTTGAGATAACAACAATGTAAGAAATTAGCAGTTAACACTTTGAAATCATTTTTTTTTTATTTATATAATTTTAGGCGACGGTTACCACTTTCCATCAGGTGGGCCGTCAGCCTGTTTGCCATTCTAAGCTGTATAAAAAAAAAGGTAAAAGAATAATCCTTACTAATATTATAAATGTGGAAATGATTTTTTTTTAATGGGTGATAATGAAATGGTAACCCACTCGCGTTATCGGTATACGCTAACGGGGCACCAGTGAGGGATGATAGGTGATGATAAAAAAGCAGGTCAGTTAGCCTATCGTGACGAATTTAACGATAAATTAGTAACGATGGTTTCCAGGGGGAACCACGTGGAGGTCTTACTGATAGGGTATATTGATAGCAACGGGGACTAATCTCCTCATTACTAACAATCCCTTTCCCCCTGTAGTATGTGGAAGTGAGTTTGTTTGTTGCTGAATCTCTATGAAATTTATTTATATACGTACTATTTGGGATGAAGAAGGATATAGGCTGCTTTTTATCCGGTTCAGTAAGCATATACCAGTCAGACGAAGCCGCGGGTTGAAGCTAGTATAACATTATTGTAATAAAATAAAAGATATTATAAACGTTTCTAAATTTAAAGATAAAATCGAATCATGGAAGTAGTTTAAGAACAAAACTATGTCTAGTCACTTATATGGTAGATATTTGTTTGCCTACGTAAGTGCATTAGCACGTTGCTTCGCATAACTGGAGTCCAAGGTTCTATTCCTGGTTAGGCTAATTTAGGAAACGTTTATAAATAGGTTTATGTCTAATTAGTTTCGTCTAGACACTAATAATTTAAAGTGATATATTTCTAATAAGACTTAATATGAGATTTTATTGACATTACATTATTTCACTTTAATCTACAAATATTGTTTATTGACTTACTTTTTTTTATTAAAAATAAGTTTTTTTTTTGGTGTTTTTTTTTATATGCTGTATGAATCCTTCGTCACCAAACTACGTAAATAGCATTTTATTTAGGGGGCCAGCCAGCTATTATCCGTCCACTGCTGGATATAGGACTCTCTCATAGATTGCCATAAGGAACGATTCTGAGCCACCTGCATCCACTGACTCTCTACAACGCATTTGAGATTGTCACTCCATCTAGTGGGGGGTCGTCCTACACTGCGTTTGCCCGTACAGGGTCGCCACTCAAAAACCTTTCTTACTGTAAAAAAATATCATGGTCTTTAAAAGCTAATATACAGAAAAGATATCGAATTAATAAATTTTAGAACTTAGAATGTGTTTATGAAACAAAGAATGTTTCTTTGTTATATTATATGCAATAAGGTTTGGGCAACCGTCGACAGGAAATGAAATTGGACCTTCCAGATTCCATGCATATGATACTGCGGTCTTTGTTGTTCAGTAATTTTACAACAATTTGGAACAGTTTAGTGTTTGAAATGACAAAAAGGTTAAGTAAATAACGATCGCGAGTTAGTCACTTGACCAGTCACATTATCATCTCTCTGTCTCTTTTCTTCGTCTTAATATCTCGGCAACGTAATCATCTATTATGTATTTTGATTGTGACTCGAGAATCGATGTGTCAGTTATCAAAGATAAGGATAACGTGAGTGTTAATGCTGCGTTAGTGTATCTAATTTTATCACAATAACTATTAAAGATTTGTATTTTTATTTCAGTTTTTTTGTTATATAAAAAAATTTACCTACGGTATGTATATATATATATATATATATATATATATATATATATATATATATATATATATATATATATATATATAATTAACTATTAAATTAATATATAAAAAAAATATTAATGATCGATGCTTCTGATTCTATCACTATAAATATCACTATAAAGTTAGGTTAACGGGGGGAAGCTAAGGAAATTAGGTAAGCTGGGGGAAGAGGGATTGTTAGTAATGAGGAAATAAATTCCTATTTCTAGCAATATATCCTGTCAGGTCGACCTCCACGCGGTTCTCCCTTGAAACTATTGTGATTAATTCTTATTAGATCAGTCACAATGAGCTGACTGACCTAGTTTTCTTTCCCTCTCACCACTCACTGGTGTCCCGGCTCTGTATACCGATAGTGCAGGCGGGGTTACAATTCCATTCTTATCCATTTAAAAAAAAAAACCTATACTACTTCATTTAGGATAAAATAGTTCAGTTATAGTGTTAACCAATCTACACTAATATTATAAAGAGGAAAGATTTATATTTTTTTGTGTATGTATGTTTGTAATGAATAAACTCAAAAACTACTTTGCCGTTTTAAAAAATTCTTTCACCATTAGAAAGCTACATCTAGTAACGTAACTGAAGGTGTAAAAAAATACTATAAAATATCTTTCGTGCGCTGCGGAAACTATTGGTGGGTGATAGAACACAGGTATGCTCTACAATATTGAAGAAAATATCAATAACTATAAAAAAACTTCTGGATACTATATGTCCAACTATTATCGTTATGTCACAATAAGCACTTTTTAAAATGTTGTAAAAATGTCCATGTCCGTGCGAAGCCGGGACGGGCTGCTAGTTATTAATATTCTGACTTCTATTGAGCGCTTATTAGACATAACTGCAGTGATCAAACAATCACTGTAAACTTGTCATAGTTGTTATTAAAAATACAAATGTATTTATACTCTATATCTCCTTTTATATCGGAGGGAGACTTTGTACAAAAGTCGATTGCTTAGGTACCTCTGTCCCATTCGTGTTTCTACCGTGAATTAGTTATGTTTGCATGGCTGTGTTTCGGTTTGAAGGGTGGGATATGGCGTGAATTTACTGGGTACAGAGGAATAACACCTAAGTCCTCAGGAATGGCAACGCATGGAGGGTATCATGAGCGAAACAGTATACTCTGTTATGTCCATGCTACTGCTCATGTCTATAGGCGACGGTTACCACTTTCCATCAGGTGGACCGTCAGCTTGTTTGCCATTCTAAGTTGTATAAAAATAAAAAAAAATAAAAAATACCATATTTACTTCAAGACATACATCGATAAAGTATACGTAAATATATGTTCCTTGATAGCAACTGTTGATACAGTGTCCAAATTATTTTCAAACCAGAACACACAGACTGCAGTTTGGTGTCCTACTTCGCTTCTAGGTCTGCATTGTGTATTTTCTCGAAAAATCTAGCCAATGATGTCTTGATAGTATTTCAGAATGCCTGCATATAAATAGCTTTAGTAAATTTATTCACAAAATTGAGATGGTTTAGAAATATTATTGTGGTTATATTAATATCTTAACATGTGTTTAACCGTTGCGCTTCACAAAGGTCATTAAGATTAAACAAATAATTCAAGCGACAATGTATGTATATGGATAAACAGTTTGCCGGAACTCGAAATAAAAACAAAATGTAATAGGTATGCATCAAAATAATCAATGTTACATTAATGGATTTTAGTTGTGGTCAGATTCTAAATTCGAATGTATTTTGTGTATGACACAAGTATATGTTATTATGTATGAAATAAAGTCATCAATTTCGAACAGATTTTTTTATGATTTCGTTACATACCTATAACCATAGTTCATTTTCGATTTTTTTTTTCTGTTGATTTATTACACATTAATTTTCATGACTGTTATTGAAGCTTAATTTTTATGAATGTCGTTTTTATTTATGATTAAAAAAAAAAACACCTTGTTGTGTAACAAAAATTACGTGTATGTACAATTTCGTCTTTTAAGTTCAAATGTTTAAATTATGATTGAGCAGGTTGCCAACCCGCCTGTCAACTGTAGCAACTACTGGCGAAACCCTTTATTCAGCAGTGGTCAGTTGGCTGATATAATAACGATAAATTGGAGGGAAGGGATTGTTACTAATAGGGAGGTTAGTCCCCATAGCTGTCAATATACCTTATCAGGTAGACCTCCACGCGGTTCCCTCTGGAAACCATCGAGACTAGTTTATTGTTGAATTCGTCACGATGGGCTAACTGACCTGCTTTTTCATCTTCACCAATCATCCATCACTGGTGCCCCGCCACTGTATACTGATAGCGCAGGCGGGGCTACCATTCCATTATCGTCCATAAAAAAAAAAATTATAAATTGAAAATATTAATTTAATGTTTCTAAATAAACAGAGGTGTACTGAATGTCATTAGTCATTAGTCATTTATTTAAAAAACAATGTACCTACATTGTGTCTGAAATAAGAGATAAACATACAAAAATTATGGATTCAGTAACAATTTTTGCAGAACAAAATGTATATATTCTACCATTTATTGCTTCACTATTTTATATGCTAGCTGCAGTGGATGTTTGTATTGCTAAATTTGTACGATTTAGTACTTTATAATCATTTTTTAACCTACTTAATATATCATTAGGAAGTTACATCCTTCGATAGTTTTTTTTTTTTGCTTTTATTGCTTCAAACTTCAAAAAAGGTTACAAACACTTGAGTGAGGGAGGGGGATTATTCATAAGGGAGACTTAGGGCCCCATTGCTAGCAATGTACCCAACCAGGTCGACCTCCACGTGGTCCCTCTAGAAACCATCGTGTTGAATTCCAAGTGTATTCGTCACGATGGGCTAACTGACCTGTGTTTTCATCCTTACTTATTATCCCTCACTGG